CCTGTAAAAGCCGACATGAAAACAGGGATAGTACATGAAAACTAGCAGAGCTGTACTAGCGGTTCTCCCTAGGAGGTGATCTCATGTGCCCAAGGGTGTGTGCTCCTCAGTGGGCACCGCTTACAGTTAGAACACCCTACCTGCAGGGGGTGTCTGCTGTGCCCATTCCCTGCAGACCCCACTGCACTTGATAACAAAGAACAGCTGTGGTTTTCTTTGAAGCCCAGACGTCCCTATTGTGCAGTGTTTCACCTCACTATAGACAAAGGCCTTTTTGTGGGAAGTGATACCCCCCCTCCAGTCCCCCCCACTTTATAGTTCTGCTGCTACTCTTGGCTCTGTGATGTGTGCAAGAGAAGTGGAGGTGCAAACCACATTCTGCACATGGCCTGGCCCCTGCATGTCCCCTGCCACAGAGAAACTTGTCCCTAGCTCATCTAGGAAAAGAGCCTCTTGCTTGGCTCCAGGGCACTACCCTCCTCCTCAGGCTCCTCTGGTGCCATTCGAATGGGTCTCGAGGACAGCTCTTAGGTGGGAAGATGAAAAGGCAGGGGAGGGAAGAGAGAATCCGGCCTCTAGGGGACTTAAAGCCTTGATGGGAAGGAGGGTAGTCAAACAGAAACGGCTCACAATCCGGTGTGATCAGGACCCGGTAGCAGTTGGCAGAAGGTTGGCCGCCTCGGATTCTTCTACACTGACCAGAGGATTCAGTCTGAAGTCCAACCCGTCTGGCTCCTCTGGATGCCAGGCTCCGAGGCCAGAGGTTGAGGGAACCGTGCTGGATGAAGCAGCCCTGTGTTCAGGAGCCGAGGGCCCCATGGAAGCTGGGGCGGTGCCTGCCCCCGCTCAGGTCTCCCCTGCAAAGCCATCCATCCCGTATGCAGTCTGATGTCCACGAAGCCTTGGCCACAGTCTTAAAGGCTTGTGACCCTGCTCGTCAGCTCTGGGAATGGCTGAGAAGCATCGGAGGCAGGATGGTTCCTTGAGCACCTACAGGGTTTTCCGTAAGTGGTCAAGGATTTCCTCATAATCGTGTCCGTCATCTGCAAAACAGGTCAGGTCAAGGAGGATCTTTGGCCTTCGGCAAGCTCCTTCCCCCTTCCTAGTTTCCTAACATGCTCAGTGAAACTCAGACAGCCCCTGACCCCATGCACAGAGACTGATTCAGCTGACCCAGGGTGAGGCCCAGGGAGCTCCAGGACTTGGTGAACCGCACAAGTGTCCCAGACCCCAGCATAAGAACCACGGCAAGCACTGAGCACTGCTGCCCACAGCCCTGTCAGCTAAGGGGAGCACAGGGACAACTTCCTCCCTACGGCCCTTCAGCCTCGGCCCACCTCATCACATTGGGACCACCAGAGGGTGGGGGCAGCAGGGGAGAGGGAGGAGACCCACCTGAATCCTGGCTGTTGGGGTTCGTGGGCGCTGCTCTGGAGTTCTTTTGGGAAGACACCTTGCTGTACATGCTGGATTTGTCCCTGGAGAACTCGAGCAAGGTCTTTGCCTTGGGTCTGGGTAGCAGAGGGGCTTGAGACTAAGTGGGAGAAAAGGCACATGAGTCAGCAGTGGAGCACAAAATGAAGCAGAAGGCAGAACATAGTTGTCAACTTCCTCTGCCTGCCGTGCCTACTTCCTGTTGAGGGTAGAGCTCACTACAAGCCCAGAACATCTTGGCTGGGAGAAAAGGGTGAGGGTGGGGACTGAGGCCAGGTCTCGGGGCTAAAGACAGGGTGGCTGTGGGGGTTGGAGAGCTGAAAGGGCCTAAGCAGGTAGAGCGCGTGTGTTGAGCTAACCAGCATCAGGCCAATAATACATAACTGCTCAGTTAACCTTCACGTGGTCTTCTGTGTAGCTGTATGAATCCCTTCCCAGTTTACATGTGAAGTAAGGACTCAGCCTGTGCCATTGTCTGAACGGGGAGGGGGGGGCTTTTCGGTGGGGGCAGGGCTTGGACCTCTGAAGTCGTGCTCCCTACATGGCACCTTAGAAAGCAAAGCACTCTATTCCATGAGCAGCTGGTACCCAGAAGGGAATGGTGACTGCTTCGAAGGCAACCAGCAGAGACGGCCGGAAGTGACATCCATCAGGTGCCAAAGCTGGCACCCGGGTCTTTTCATTCTTTGTACCAGATTCTTCCCAGCACCATTGCAAGGCCCTGGTCTATTTGTCCAGAGAGCTCTGGTGGTACACGGAGTGATGCCTTGGACTGCTAACTACAAAGTCCGAAGTTCGAACCCACCCAGCCACTCTTATGAGTCGGAATCAACTCGATGACAGTGGGGTTTTTAAAAATTCTTTCTCTAGTCAGAAAATGACAGCCATCAACAGCCGAGGCTGAGACGGCTCTGGGTAGTCATCTTTTTAGCTTCCAACTGCCATCCGAGGACATAAAAAACAAACAAACAAAAAACCCACTGCAACCAAGTTGATTCCAACGTAGAGTGACCCTACAGGACAGGCTAGAACTGCCCCTGTGGGTGTCCGAGGCAGAAGTCAGTACGGGAGCAGAGAGCCTCGACCTTCTCTTGTGGAGCGGCTGGTGGTTTCAAACTGATGATCCTGCAGTTGGTAGCCCAACTCATAACTCACTACACCCCCAGGGCTCCCACCTGATAAAGCAAAGCAAAACATACAATTCACTGCCATCGAGTCAATTCCAACTCATACTGACCCTCTAGGACAGAGTAGAACTGGCCCTTTGAGTTTCTGAGACTTTAAAACTTTATGGATGGAGACACCCTCATCTTTCTCCCACGGAGTGACTGGTAGGTTCGAACCACAGGCCTTGTGGTTAGCACCAGGACTGCCTGATAGAGAGCAGTTAATGAAGCAGCAGAACGATGGTGTGTGTGTGATCTCGGGTTTAGTGGTATGAAAGGGGTGCTCAGAGGAGTGACTTGTGCAAGCTCCCACGGAAGTAAACTGGGACACAATTGTTGTCTGGCTGACTTTCGCCCATCTTCTGTCAACCTGTCATCCAGTAACTAAAAACTGTGTAACATGCACTGTGAACACAAAAGCGAAGTGATTTCCTAGGGGAAAATCCGAGCTGGGCCTTAAACTCGGAAGCATGTTCTAGGCCAAAGGGCTGGGGTTCTGGCATACTGCCTAGAGGGGTGGAGAGGTGAGCCTGGGGAGGCAACAATGCACTCAGACTTGAAGGACCCTGACTGCCATGTGAAGAGGCTTGCACCCGGCCCCCCAGCAGTGGGGACTGAATTCTGAAGGCCTCAGATGATGGGCCCAGGGAAGGGCTTGGGAAGGCCATGCTGACGGCAGTGGGGAGAGATTGGTGCTGTGAGAAGTGAGGAGGCAAAGAGGGCAAGCACAGTGACCTTGAAAGTGGTGTGCTGCTGCTGCTTAAACTCAGACTGCCACACAGCAGCTGTGGGACCTTGTGAAAATATGGGCCATCCCAGCAGCCTCAGGGGCAAACAGGTAAAGTGTGCTTTAGACGCTGCGATGCCACTCAAAGCCGGAGTGGCAGGACCCCCCCTCCCTGCCCGCCTCACTCCTTCCTGTACCTGGCTGCATCCCTCCCGGATGCTCGGTCTCTTCTGCCCACCGAGCTCCGGCTTCTTGGGGGGTCGGGGGGGCGGCAGTTGGCTCTCACAGGCCGGTAACTTCCGCAGGCGATAGTAGAAGGCTTCAGTCAGTTCCTCGACCGTGGCCACGGGGGGAGGCCCAGCTGGCCGGCCCGGCTGAGCCTCCACCTCCACGACGGTCAGATCCAGCCATCGGGGCGGGACCTCAAAGCACAGCTCGGGCTCGCCGTCCAGGCCGACCACCACGAAGGGCTCCAGGAGCTTCTCCTCCAGCCGCAGGCCCGGGAAGGAAGTCAGGGGGTCGGTGGGCTGGCTGGGGTCTTTGGCCACCACCTTGACCTCACAGGGCAGCGGGCACTGAGCAGTCAGATCCGCCAGGCCATAGCGCCTCCCGTCGTTCATCTCCTCCACGAAGCCGCCAGACAGGTAGAGGGGCAGCAGGACCCTCTCCTGGTCCTCGGCTTCCTGCCCCGCTTCCTGCTCCTCTTCCTCCTCGTCCTCCCCGGGCGGGTCGCTCAGCCGCTGACACACCAGGACATCGATGTCCCTGCCGTGGGCCCCAAAGGCCTGGCCGGACCCCAACACCTCCAGCCTGTCGCCCACCGCCAGGGAGGCGAACTCCGGGTTGTCCTCGCCCTCGCAGTCCCTGGTGGTCACCACCCGGAGAGGCTTGCCCGGCTGGAGAGCGCTCAGGAGGTCGTAGGCCGTGGGGAACTCCCGGGGCCGCCTCCGCAGCCTGCCCTGATAGCCCCCCGAGACCATGAAGTGCCTGGGCATCTTGCGGCCCTTGCTGGTGGCCAGCACCCGCCAGGAGGGCGAGGCCGGGCCGTAGAGGTAGAGTCTCTGGCCGCGCCGCAGGGAGCCCACCCATGGGCTGAGGAAGATGGGGGGGCCCTCGGGGACCTCCAGGACCTCCACGGGCAGCGGGAAGGGGCCTCCCCTGGCCAGGACCTCACTCAGCAGCAGCGGCTTGATGAAGTGAATGTGCTGGCAGGAGGCGGTGACGTCCTCCACGTCAACCTCCAGCGTGGACGGGATCTTGACCAGGGTCCTGCGCACTGGGAGGGGGAGGAAGGAGGTCAGTTCAGGGGCCACTGCTCACTGCCCATGCTCACCACGGAGGAGAGGGCAGGGCAGGGACCACCGCACACTGCCCTTTGCCTCACTGTGGCAAAGGACACTGGTCTGGGCTCGGGGACCATTTCCCTACAGACTAGCTTCCTCCCCCACTCTTCATTCAACCTGACACCTGGACATTTATAAAAAAACAAGCACAAACAGTATAAAGCACCCCCACATGCTCATCACAGTGACTCCATGTGACAGCACAACAGCCCCGTAGGCTTTCCTAGACTATTGTTTTCTTAATCTACAGCACATCATTTCATTTATTTTGTTGAGAATGCAAGGCAGCAAAACACACATGTCCACCAATTCAACAGGTTCAACCCTGCTGACCTTCTTGAAGGGACGCACCATCCCCAGCCCTGTGGGAGCCGCTCCTCCCCCAGCCCACAGCAATTCACTGCCCTCGCAGTGTCTTCTCCCACCGCTTCCTTGTCTGTCAGTTTGTGTACTGTGGGGGTTTGGGTGTTGCTGTGATGTTGGAAGCTATATCCCTGGCATTTCAAACACCAGCAGGGTCACCCACAGTGAGCAGGTCTCAATAGAACTTGCAGACTACAAACAGACTAGGCAGAGGGAGGAAACTGACCACCCGAGGAATTAACCCCTGAAAACCTTATGGAGAGCAGTGGACACTGTCAGAGAGAGCGCCAGAAGATGAGTCTGTTGGGTCGGCAAGCACTCAAAATATGACTGAGGAAGAGCTGCCTCCTCAAAGTGGAGTCGACCATGATGACATGGATGGAGGAAAGCCTTCCTGACCTTCCTGTGCTGACAGAGCACACCCAAAATGAGAAGAAACAACTGCAAATCCTATTAATAATGTGGAACTTGTAATATACAAAATATGAATCTTGGAAAATTGGAATTCATGAGAAACGAGATGGACCCCATAAAGATCAATATCCTGGCCATCAGCGAGCTGAAATGGACTGGTATTAGCCACTTTGTGTCAGTAGTCATATGATTTACTGTGCTGGGAATGACATTCAAGAGGAATGGCACAGCATTCATCCTCAACAGGGGCATTTCAAGATCTATTTTGATTATACCACTCCTCTTGATGTGATTGAACTACTGAATCGTGTGATATGTGAATGCTATGCCAATAAAACAAGATCTATTTTGAAGTACAATGCTGTCTATGCTGGGACAATATCTGTCTGTGTATAAAGAAATCCAATCAATACAACAATTACTCAAATTTATGCACCGTCCACCAAGGGTAATGATGAAGAAACTGAAGGATGTTACCAATGCCTTCAGTCTGAAATGATCAAAGACGCAGTGCTAATTATTGGTGGTGGGAAACAGAGGAGCAGTAGTTGACGGTTTGGCCTTGAGGAGAGAAGGAAGCTAGAGATCCCAAGTTCGAATTCTGCAAGATCAAGAACCTCATTGCAAATGCCGTTTTCAACACACAAAAGACAACAATCCACGTGGACTTCTCCAGATGGGACACACAGAAATCAAACTGACTGCGTCTGTGGGAAGAGACATGAAGAAGCTCACCAGCAGCAGCTGAAGGAGGCAGGGGCTGACCAACCACTGCGCACACGTCAGTGCTGGTTCAAGCTGGAGACAATGAAACAAGGCCACGTACGACGCAATACAGCCTCGAGTCCATCCCACCTGAACTTCAAGAGCATCTCAGCGCACTGAACACTAAGCACAGAAGACCTATGAAGCTGTACGATGACATCAAGAACACCATACAGAGGGCGGGGGAGGGAGGGGGAAAAGAAGAGCTGGTACCAATGGATGTATGGAATGTTGTAAGAGTTGTAAGAGCTGCCAATAGAAGGATTTTTTTTAAATCACACACAAAGAAAGCAAAAGTCATTAAAAAGACAGGAAAGAAAGAAAACATCAAGTAGATGTCAGAAGAAACTGAAACTTGCTCTTAATGGTAGAGCAATAAGCCAAATGGAAGAAATGCTGAAGTCAAAGAGCTAAACAGACCGTTTCAAAGAGCAGCTCAAGACAACAAAGTAACGTATGATAATGAAATGCACAAAGACCTAGAGTGAGAAACCAAAGAGGAAGAACTTAAGAAAAAATTCAAGCCTCCGGTTGTAATATTGAAAGTTTCAATGGGCAAACTATTAGTGATGCAGGAAGCATGAAAAGAGTACAGAGTCACTGTACCAAAAAGAATTAGTCCACTGTCCACCGTGTCAGGAGGCAGCATATGAGCAAGGAAGACGTTCAAGCGGCACGGAATGAATGTAACAGCAAGGCTCCAGGAATCGATGTAACACCAAATGGAATGTTTCCACGAGCTGCTGAAGCACAGGTAGCACACACCCACCCATGCCAGGAACTTTGGAAGGAGGCTACATGCCAAACCACAGGAAGAGATACATATTTGCACCCATTCCAAAGAAAGGTGATTCAATAGAATGCTCAAATTACTGAACAGTATCATTACTATCACATGCAAGTAAAATTTTGCTGAAGATCATCTAACATTGACAGGGAGTTGCTAAAGGCTCAGACCAGATTCAGAAGAGGACGTGGAACGAGGGATATCACTGCTGAGGTCAGACGGATCTTGCTGGAAGCAGAGAGCGCCAGAAAGGTGTTGACTTGTGTTTCATTGACCAAGCAAAGGCATTTGACGGTGTGGGTCATAAACTATGCAGAGTCTTGAGAAAAATGAAAATTCCAGAACACTTCTGTGCTCATGAGTACATGAATCCAGTGGCAACTGTGCAGACAGAACTGCATGACTTAAAATCAGGAAAGGTGGGCATGAATGTCGTATCCTCTCACCATACTAAATCAATCTGTATGCTGAGAACATAACTAGAGAAACTGGATTATATGAAGAAGAATGCAGCATCAGGATCGGAAGAAGGCTTAAATCAGGGACATGCAGACAACACACCTTTGCTTGCTGAAAGTGAGGAGGACTTGAAGCACTTGCTGATGAAGATCAAGGATTGGAGCCTTCAGGATGGATTACCACTCAATGTAAAGAAAAATCCTCATAAGTAGGCCAATAGGGAACACCATGATCAATGGAGAAAAGATTGAAGTGGTCAAGGATTTGTCTTGCTTGGATCCACTATCAGTGCTCATGGGAGCAGCCGTCAAGAGATCAAAAGATGAGTTGCATTGGGTAAATCAGCTGCACAAGCCTCGAGTATTGAAAAGCAAGGCTATTACTTTGAGGACTAACGTGCACTTGACCCAAGCATCATGGTATTTTCCTGTGCCTCGTATGCATGTGAAAATTAGACACTGGAGAAGGAAGACCGAAGACGGAGAATATCGAAAGTACCACGGACTTCCAAACGGACCAACAGATGGACCTTGGAAGAAGTCCGGCTAGACTGCGCCTTAGAAGCAGGAATGGGAACTTCGTCTCACACACTTGGGACGTGTTGTCAGGAGAGAGCAGGCCCTGGAGAAGGACACCCTGCTTAGTAACATGAAGGGGCAGCAACAAAGAAGAAGCCCCTCCCTCCCCAAGCTGGATCGGCCCAGCGGCTGCAACACTGGGCCCCAAGAGAAGAAAGAACAGGGCCGAGAAGGGCACAGGCAGGCAGGGCTCAGTCTGCTGCACAGGTCACTGATGTGGTCTGCAAAATACGAAACGTAAGAAGCGCTCCAGAACAAATGGAC